CACACACACACACACGCCACCATCACCACTCCACACAACATCCCACCACACTACACCTCCCCTTGACACACCACACCTCAGAACCATGCCATACCACACACACACACACACGCCACCACCACCACTCCACACAACATCACACCACACTACACCTCCCCTTGACACACCACACCACAGAACCATGCCATACCACACACACACACACACGCCACCACCACCACTCCACACAACATCACACCACACTACACCTCCCCTTGACACACCACACCACAGAACCATGCCATACCACACACACACACACACACACACACACACACACACACACTGCCACCACCACTCCACACAACATCACACCACATTACACCTCCCCTTGACACACCACACCACAGAACCATGCCATACCACACACACACACACACACACACACCACCACCACCACTCCACACAACATCACACACACACACGCCACCACCACCACTCCACACATCACACCACACTACACCTCCCCTTGACACACCACACCACAGAACCATGCCATACCACACACACATACATACACACGCCACCACCACCACTCCACACAACATCACACCACACTACACCTCCCCTTGACACACCACACCACAGAACCATGCCATACCACACACACACACACACGCCACCACCACCACTCCACACAACATCACACCACACTACACCTCCCCTTGACACACCACACCACAGAACCATGCCATACCACACACACACACGCCACCACCACCACTCCACACAACATCACACCACACTACACCTCCCCTTGACACACCACACTACAGAACCATGCCATACCACACACACACACACACACACACACGCCACCATCACCACTCCACACAACATCACACCACACTACACCTCCCCTTGACACACACCACCACTCCCGATTTCTATACACTAATCTGTGGTATGAAATCTGTACACTAATCTGTGGTATGAAATCTGTACACTAATCCATGGTATGAAATCTATACACTAATCCATGGTATGAAATCTGTACACTAATCTGTGGTATGAAATCTGTACACTAATCCATGGTATGAAATCTATACACTAATCTGTGACAAGAAATCTATACACTAATCCATGTTATGAAATCTATACGCTAATCCATGGTATGAAATCTATACACTAATCTGTGATATGAAATCTGTACACTAATCTGTGGTATGAAATCTATACATTTATCTGTGGTATGAAATCTGTACACTAATCCATGGTATGAAATCTGTACACTAATCCATGGTATGAAATCTATACACTAATCTGTGACAAGAAATCTATACACTAATCCATGTTATGAAATCTATACGCTAATCCATGGTATGAAATCTATACACTAATCTGTGATATGAAATCTGTACACTAATCTGTGGTATGAAATCTATACATTTATCTGTGATATGAAATCTATACACTAATCCATGGTATGAAATCTATACACTAATCTGTGATATGAAATCTATACACTAATCTGTGATATGAAATCTGTACACTAATCCATGGTATGAAATCTATACACTAATCTGTGGTATGAAATCTGTACACTAATCCATGGTATGAAATCTATACACTAATCTGTGACATGAAATCTATACACTAATCCATGTTATGAAATGTATACACTAATCTGTGGTATGACATCTATACACTAATCCATGGTATGAAATCTATACGCTAATCCATGGTGTGAAATCTATACACTAATTTGTGATATGAAATCTATACACTAATCTGTGGTATGAAATCTATACATTTATCTGTGATATGAAATCTATACACTAATCCATGGTATGAAATCTATACACTAATCTGTGATATGAAATCTGTACACTAATCCATGGTATGAAATCTATACACTAATCTGTGATATGAAATCTATACACTAATCCATGGTATGAAATCTATACACTAATCCATGGTATGAAATCTATACACTAATCTGTGGTATGAAATCTATACATTTATCTGTGATATGAAATCTATACACTAATCCATGGTATGAAATCTATCCACTAATCTGTGATATGAAATCTATACATTTATCTGTGATATGAAATCTATACACTAATCCATGGTATGAAATCTATACACTAATCTGTGATATGAAATCTGTACACTAATCCATGGTATGAAATCTATACACTAATCTGTGATATGAAATCTATACACTAATCCATGGTATGAAATCTATACACTAATCCATGGTATGAAATCTATACACTAATCTGTGGTATGAAATCTATACATTTATCTGTGATATGAAATCTATACACTAATCCATGGTATGAAATCTATACACTAATCTGTGATATGAAATCTGAACACTAATCCATGGTTGAAATCTATACACTAATCCATGGTATGAAATCTATACACTAATCCATGGTATGAAATCTATACACTAATCTGTGGTATGAAATCTATACACTAATCTGTGGTATGAAATCTATACACTAATCCATGGTATGAAATCTATACACTAATCTGTGATATGAAATCTATACACTAATCTGTGATATGAAATCTGTACACTAATCCATGGTATGAAATCTATACACTAATCTGTGGTATGAAATCTGTACACTAATCCATGGTATGAAATCTATACACTAATCTGTGACATGAAATCTATACACTAATCCATGTTATGAAATGTATACACTAATCTGTGGTATGACATCTATACACTAATCCATGGTATGAAATCTATACGCTAATCCATGGTGTGAAATCTATACACTAATTTGTGATATGAAATCTATACACTAATCTGTGGTATGAAATCTATACATTTATCTGTGATATGAAATCTATACACTAATCCATGGTATGAAATCTATACACTAATCTGTGATATGAAATCTGTACACTAATCCATGGTATGAAATCTATACACTAATCTGTGATATGAAATCTATACACTAATCCATGGTATGAAATCTATACACTAATCCATGGTATGAAATCTATACACTAATCTGTGGTATGAAATCTATACATTTATCTGTGATATGAAATCTATACACTAATCCATGGTATGAAATCTATCCACTAATCTGTGATATGAAATCTATACATTTATCTGTGATATGAAATCTATACACTAATCCATGGTATGAAATCTATACACTAATCTGTGATATGAAATCTGTACACTAATCCATGGTATGAAATCTATACACTAATCTGTGATATGAAATCTATACACTAATCCATGGTATGAAATCTATACACTAATCCATGGTATGAAATCTATACACTAATCTGTGGTATGAAATCTATACATTTATCTGTGATATGAAATCTATACACTAATCCATGGTATGAAATCTATACACTAATCTGTGATATGAAATCTGAACACTAATCCATGGTTGAAATCTATACACTAATCCATGGTATGAAATCTATACACTAATCCATGGTATGAAATCTATACACTAATCTGTGGTATGAAATCTATACACTAATCTGTGGTATGAAATCTATACACTAATCCATGGTATGAAATCTATACACTAATTTGTGGTATGAAATCTATTCACGAATCTGTGGTATGAAATCTGAAGGTTGCCGAATTTCTTTGATTAAACGAAAGAACATGAAACAAAGACTGGATAATTACATCTGGCTTTTATTGCTTTACAAGGATAATGTTGCATCAAGATCGCATCTGAAAAGCAAATGTTACTGATTAACTGTAAATGAAATATTCTTGATTTTATTATGTCCTGCATGTGCAGCTGCTCAAGAACATAGGACTCGTATAAATATTGATGATAAATCTGTTTTGGTAAATTCTTAATTACGAACCTATTTGTTCACCAATTGTCTCGATATGTGGAATTGATCCAAAGGGTTCCTGAACATGATTCAATTTTAGGGAAGTAGTATTTCTAGAAGTAGCTAAAGTCTATCACTATTAATGCATTTGCTAATTACGACGTTCTATAGAGAGAATTATTGATGTCCGCCTCGGATGCGTCCATCAACTTGCAAGGCTGGCCTGAGAAAGATTTATGTGTATTCCCTTTCGGCTATAACCAGATGTGACGTGAGTTTCTAGGAATAATATTGAAGACTAGAAATATTAAGTGGTTGTGAAAAGTAGCCATAAACGAACTAACCCAGACGTATTAACCCAGACCAGTCATCTCGTGACATTGAAGAACTTGGAATTAACGAGTATTCAATACTGTATAAGAGGAAGGAACCCGAATGGAGCTGAACAAAGTCTGAACAACCGACGACCGAACAACGTCTGAATACCTGACGACCGAACACTGTCTAAACGACTGAGGTACCCGAACAAGAACTGACGCCTGAAGAAGGTCAACAAAAGAAGCCTGAACAAAGTCTGAACAGCTGACGCCTGGACAAAGTCTGAACAACTGACGCCTGGACAAAGTCTGAACAACTGACGCCTGGACAAAGTGTGAACAACTGACGCCTGGACAAAGTGTGAACAACTGACGCCTGGACAAAGTGTGAACAACTGACGCCTGGACAGAGTCTGAACAACTGACGCCTGGACAAAGTGTGAACAACTGACGCCTGGACAAAGTGTGAACAACTGACGCCTGGACAAAGTCTGAACAACTGACATCTGGACAAAGTCTGAACAACTGACGCCTGGACAGAGTCTGAACAACTGACATCTGGACAAAGTGTGAACAACTGACGCTCGGACAAAGTCTGAACAACTGACATCTGGACAAAGTGTGAACAACTGACGCCTGGACAAAGTGTGAACAACTGACGCCTAGACAAAGTCTGAACAACTGACATCTGGACAAATTCTGAACAACTGACGCCTAGACAAAGTCTGAACAACTGACGCCTGGACAAAGTCTGAACAACTGACGCCTGGACAAAGTCTGAACAACTGACATCTGGACAAAGTGTGAACAACTGACGCCTGGACAAAGTCTGAACAACTGATGCCTGGACAAAGTCTGAACAACTGACTCCCGAACAAAGTCTGAACAACTGCAGCACTTGGACAAAGTGTGAACAACTGGACCACCCGAACAACACTTATACAGCTGTATTGCCCGAACAACGTCGGAACAGCACCTGAGACTTCAGAGAAATAGTTAGACCGGTGAGTAACATCTCGGTATTTCACACATCAATATCTATTTGCCTTAACACAAATATTACACGTTTGCCACAACTCTAAGCGGCGGGATGGCACAGGATTGGATGACAGTAGCCAGGTCACACCAGGGATGACACCCAATCCACAATTTAGTCTTTCCCACAAGGGTGGGGCCAGTGAAGCATGATAATTATTCCACATGCTATTTAGTCAACATAAGACGTGCGTTGCGATACCTGATGCAGTATGTGCCAAAATAGACAGCATTGTCTGTCGACCAAGCAGCACACTCACTAAAGTAACGCTGACATCACTGACCCTAGCCTTTCCCTGCTGGGTTCAAAGTTTACCGGAAGGTCGGTGGTTCGATCCCCTGGCCTTGTTATACCCGGCTCTCGGCATCAAGTGGATAAAACAAGGACTGGTCGGCTCGGACTGGTATACCCCGCCACGGTGATTCAATGGGCTAGCGACCCGGAAGATCCGGGGTAGAACAAGTCTATTTTGCAACCCATGCTTGCCGTAAAAGGCGACTATGCTTGTCGTAAAAGGCGACTATGCTTGTCGTAAAAGGCGACTATGCTTGTCGTAAAAGGCGACTATGCTTGTCGTAAAAGGCGACTAACGGGATCAGGTGGTCAGGCTCGCTGACTTGGTTGATGCATGTCATCGATCCCAATTGAATGGATCGGTGTTCATATATCAATCACTGGATTGTCTGGTCCAGACTCGATTATTTACAGACCGCCGTCATGCAGCTAGAATATTGCTGAGTGCGCCGTTAAACAACAAACAAATAAACTTTTTCTTGGTCAACACCTAATGATTTCATCATCAAACTAACCCTTTTGCGGCCAAAGCGTAGCCTCCTCATTATGAAACTAACCCTTCCACTATTTTCGCTGTTCATACTCCATCGTTCCCGACACTAAATTCTTCCACTTCCCCCGTAAAGACCTAAAGTTCTCACCGACAAACTAACCCTTTTAGTGTCAGGACCTAACGTTGTCGCTCCAAATTCGCAATTTTCCCCATCAAGGCCTAATACTCTCATCATCAAATTAACCTTTTAACCACCAAAGCGAAGCGTCCTCACTATCAAGCTTACACCTTTCCCATCAAGATCTAATGTTCTCATCCCCAAACTAACCCTTTCCACATAAAGACCTAATGTTCTCATCCCCAAACTAACCCTTTCCACATCAAGATCTAATGTTCTCATCCCCAAATTAACCCTTTCCACATCAAGATCTAATGTTCTCATTCCCAAACTAACCCTTTCCACATCAAGATCTAATGTTCTCATCCCCAAACTAACTCGTTCGACATCAAGATCTAATGTTCTCATCGCCAAACTAACCCTCTCCCCATCAAGATCTAATACTATGATTACCAAACTCACCATTTGCCCGGCAAGACCTAATGTTCTCATCCCCAAACTAACTCTTTCCAACTTCAAGATCTAATGTTCTCATCCCCAAACTAACCCTTTCCACATCAAGATCTAATGTTCTCATTCCCAAATTAACCCTTTCCACATCAAGATCTAATGTTCTCATTCCCAAACTAACCCTTTCCCCATCAAGATCTAATGTTCTCATCCCCAAACTAACCCTTTCCACATCAAGATCTAATGTTCTCATCCCCAAATTAACCCTTTCCACATCAAGATCTAATGTTCTCATTCCCAAACTAACCCTTTCCACATCAAGATCTAATGTTCTCATCCCCAAACTAACTCGTTCGACATCAAGATCTAATGTTCTCATCGCCAAACTAACCCTGTCCCCATCAAGATCTAATACTATGATTACCAAACTCACCATTTGCCCGGCAAGACCTAACGTTCTCATCACACAGAGTTCGATTGTTCTCATCAACAAGCACTTTCCCCCCTTTTTGGGGGGCTGTCGGGTAGCCTAGTGGTTTAAGCGTTCGCTCGTCACGCCGAAGACCCGGGTTCGATTCCCGACATGGGTACAATGTGTGAAGCCCATTTCTGGTGTCCCCCGCCGTGATATTGCTGGAATATTGCTAAAAGCGGCGTAAAACCATACTCACTCACTCACTTTCCCCCTTTTATGTTTCATTCATGTTTACCAGACTGAACCCTATTCCCATCAAGACAAACTCACGCTTTTACAGTCAAGGCCTTACGTTCTCACCACTAAAAGTACCAATGTTCCTGGTCAGTACCTTATTTCTTCGTAATCAAACTAACCCTGTGATCGACAAATCTCAGTATCCTTATTATCCAGCTAACCCTTTTACCGTCAAGCCCTAACAATATCTCACCACTAGGTTAAGTTTTTTCCTCGTGAAGACCTGATGTTCGCGTAATCAAACTGACCCGTGAAGATCCGGGGTTGAATAGGTCTTCATCAACCCATACTTGCCGTAAAAGGCGGGTACGCTTGTCGACTAACGGGAACGGGTGGTCAGGCTCGCTGACTTGGTTGGTACATGTCATTGATCCCAATTACGTGGATCGATGCTCATGATGTCAATCACTGGATTGTCTGGTCCAGACTCGATTATTTACAGACCGCCGTCATATAGCTGGAATATTGCAAATTACAAACAACAACAATAACAACAGATAGTGACTAGGTGAACCCGAACGCCTACCGAATGAAGAACCGAACCTGTACGACGATCCTCCGATTGACGAGCCAAAGCTGAACACCAATCCTGAGAGTGCCTATCCCGAGACGAACGTCCTAACGGTGACCGTTACTTTGAATGGACGATCGACCTCCGGCCGATCCTTGCTTTGTTGATCTGTAGTCGAAGTAGTACCCGGTCTGCTTGTTCCCACGACAGCTTTCAAGGGTGAGGTGAAATGGGGTTTAACGTCGCGTCCAAGATTAATGCATTTATATAGAGACGTGCATGTACGTGTGTGTGTTTGTGTGGCTGCTTGTACTAGTCCGGACTGATGCCGATTTATAGTGCTAGCTCACTGAGATACCGTGCCGCAGTTTGACATGAATACCCCACTCAGACACAGTATACTGACTACGAGCCGACCAGTCCTTGTTTTAGCCCCTTAATGCCGAGCCGATCGTTAACAACAGGGTAACAACAAGTACCATTTTTTAACGTCTTTTGGTATGCCGCGGCCGGGGATCGAACCCCGGACCCGCTCTCCGGGTGGACGCTCTACCACTAGACCACGGAGGCGGTCAGTATTCAATGGATGATAGTTAGTAGGCCAGGGCAAAGATGCGCGATCAGCCTCAGTCGAAACAGTTCGCAGAGGAGGGAGATGAACGTTAACTGGTCACTGACGAAACAGGAGCGGCGGTAATAGAAGTAGTAGCCACTGGAGGCCTGGTTGGATTGATTGCCACCAGCACTTTACGAACATCCTACAACGTTGGTTTTTCCGTCGTAGACGTGGATTCAGAGGTATCGGAACGGACTGTTTAGGTATCACAGGAGGGATGTCATCCATCAAGAATCTGTCAGAAACAAATACACCTCTCCACTGAGTGGCAGGTTTAGAGGAATCCGGAGGTGGTTCAACAACGAAGGTTGTTGTTTGGTTTGTTGTTTAACGCCGCACTCAGCAATATTCCAGCTGTATGACGGCTTTCTGTAAATAATCGAGTCTGGAGCAGACAATCCAGTGATTGATATCATGAGCATCGATCCACGCAATTTGGATCGATGACATGCATCAAACAAGTCAGCGAGCCTGACCACCCGATCCCGTTAGTCGCCTTTTACGTCAAGCATAGTCGCCTTTTACAGCAAGCATGGGTTGCTGAAGACCTGTTCTACCCCGGGTCTTCCCAGGTTTCAGCAACGAAGGAGGGGACAGGTGCCTCATTTGATTTCTTGGGTTTCATGATGGCAGACGGCTTGGTCTTGTCAGAACCCTGTGACTTTGATCGCCTGTCCATTTCACGTCTGTCACGTCTGTGGCAATTCCGAAGATATTTTGAAGGATTCCCCCATCATGTAAGGCTGATGAGGGTCAGAGGAAGTGTGAGTGAGTGAGTTGGGTTTAACACCGCTTACAACAGCATTCAAGTTATTTCCTGGTGGGTGGGAAGAAAGCCCGAAGTGATGCAGGTCTCAGTCGTTTACCTCTTCGGTGAAACCCACGACCACGGGTATGATGTTGACAAACCTAGAAACATAATCGGGGCAAATTGGGATTCGAACCCAAAATCATAGGTTTCTGGCCTGCCCAAAGGACGCAACTCCGCACAGCGAATCGCGGCGCCTTAGACGACTGGGCCACCCGTGCCTCGTCAAGAAAAATCTTGACACAACGGGTGAGGAGTAAGGCCTTATCCTCAAATTTATGCGTATTTATGGCGGTTGATTCAAATACACGTCTCCACTGAGTGGCGATGAAAAAGAGAATGATCTGGTTATTCACGCGATTAGGTCGTTTAGGTCGCTATGCACAGGAGTACAGTGCGTGAACTATGTGTTACTGTTGGGTAGTGACCATGGTTATGCTGGGAGGTGTTTGGATGAATTGATTTTTCTTGGTCAGTAAACAGAGCCTGCTGGGTTGTCTGCAGTTGAAGTGTTTTCTTTCAGAACCTGGAAAGTCTGTTCAAGACGGCTTCCACGTAGCGTCGAAGAAGAAAGAAGAAATGCATAGTGCGAGATAGGATAAGTTTAAAAATTTAGTTCTTGATGGAGGAAAGGGTTAGTTAGGTAGTTGGATCAATATGGGATAAGGTTTCTTCTGGTGAACGCTAATGTAACTTTGAAGGGGAAAGTGCTTGTTGATGGGAAACATCGAATTTTGTGTAATGAGAACCTTAGACCTTGTTGGTAAATGCGTTAGCTCGATAATGTATCAACCCAAATCAGCGAGCCTGGCCACCCGATCCCGTGTGTCGCCTCTTACAACAAGCATAGTCGCCTTTTACAGCAAGCATGGATTGCTGAAGACCTGTTCTAACCCGGATCTTCACAGGTCTGATGATAAGTCACTATTAGGAGCATCGACATTACGTTATTCGACTTGGATCATT